AAAATAAAATAAAAAAGAAGATTTCCAACTCACTATATGTCATTTTTAGGGTACAATTTATGTATTCGTATACAATTATATGTTTTTTTAAATATAAGTAAACATTTTTTTATATGTTATATAATACATTTATTTAAAATTAGAAAAAATTGTCAAGACCCCTGCATAAGCCTCGCCTAGACGTATAGATGCTAGACTCTTGTCTGCTGCCCGATTAACGTCTAACGCCTTTTAAAACCTTGGCTATATATATGTTTGCATGAAATAAGGATCATGGAATACCGCGTGTGGAGCGACAGAAGGGACATCAACACTCGCGATAGCAGGGGATAAAACATTCCTTTTGCAACCTACCACATTCAAAGACCCATGCAAATCAAGCTCTTGTCAATGTTGAGGTAAAAACACATATCAGAATTAACGAGAGAAGTAATATTTTGATTTGTTATTGTTTTTTGTTTTAAATTTCACTCGTTATGCTTGGGAGGTATATTCAATTGAGATTTTGAGGGGTTTTAATAGATTTATATATCCATAAATTTTGATGGAGTTTATTTGATTTCTGGAGATTTTATATAAAATTTTGAGTGAATAGATATTTGAAAATGATTAAAATACATTACGAAAAAATCTCTCTAATAACCTGATTTTCCCAACTTTTTAATTTTTTTTTTTAAATCAATTTCAAATTGGATACATCTGCAATGTTATAAAGTCTTTTGAAATCCTGATTGAATACACTTGATTTTCAGATAATCACTTGAAATCCTGATCGAACACTCCTGAATTTGAGTGTATTAAGGTTAATTTTACACTTTTGAGTAATTTGAGTGTGGATATGGGGGGAAATTGTGGCTCCGAAGATTAATTTCTAAAAAATAAATATTGAATTCTGAAAATTGAATTACGGATCAATGTTGCAGGCTCCACACACCACCAAATGTGACGATCTTCAACTGAGTGGGCTTACACATCCCAATAGTCCGAATGCACATATTAGTATCAACGACTGTCAAACTGTTGAGGTCTCCAACCTTCATATTTTTATAATCAACTTTTAATGGTACTATAACCAAAGAAAATAGATAGACGGGAGATGGAAGAGAAAGAAACTAAATCTAAACATCTCTCATAAGTTCACTAATTACTTAATTATTTATTGACGGGTCTCTTTGTATGTGTTGTCCGGAAAGAGAATGACTCAATGATTATTCGTTAGCCGGAACCAGAAGTTAAAATTTTGGTAGATAGGAATCCAGTAAAAACTTCTTTCGAGGAATGGGCCAGATCGGGTCATTTCCCTAGAACAATAGCTAAGGGATCTGATACTACCACTTAGATCTGAAACCTACACGCTGATGCTCACGATTTTGATAGTCATACCATTGATTTGGAGGAGATCTCTTGAAAAGTATTTAGTGCCCATTTCAGTCAACTCTCCATCATCTTTCTTTGGCTTGGTGGTATGTATATTATAATTATAGTTTTCGATTGTGTTATGCGACTCACTTTTACTATTTTGTCATACTTTTGTTAATTTGATTGTTGACTAAAATGTTCAGCTCAACTACAATGAAACAGTTTAAGAAATTGACATAATGACTGAAGTAGGATATGTGATACAATTAAAAGGTCATTAAATTTAAAACTGAAGTTACGATCAAAGTGAAACACAAGTATATATCAAAAGATCTTAACCCTGAAATAATATCAATAAAAGTAAGAGAGTTTGAATGCTATGAATATCAATATTAAATCATAAAACTCTCATCAACTCACTGCATTTGGAATTTAAAATCTCTTCATCTCTTCAAAATAGTGTAGTAGGAATATCGAATGTATTAAAAAAAATTAAATATATTGCTATGGACACACAATAACATTCCATAAAACACTAAAACGTTTAACCCAAAATTATTCATTAAAAAAAAAGCATAAAAAGCACAATGATTCCGCTGCGTATCGAACCCAGGAATGCTAAGGCCATCTCCATCCGAGGGCTGGCCAGATGGCTCGTTTTAGCCCTTTGGCCCTCCAAAAAATTAATATTTTAATGAACAGTACAATACCATATTTGCTTCTATCTTCAACCGAGGATCAAATGGTCATAGAGCTCGTTTTAGCCATGTCACAAAAAACAGTCTCCAACCGAGAGCCAAACATAATTTATTATTTAAATTAAAAACTACAACAACTTAAATTTGAAAACAACAACAACTTATATTTAAAAACTACAACTTAAATTTAAAAATGACAAATTAAATTTAAAATCTACAATTTAAATTTGAAAACAACATTAACTTAAATTTAATATCCATAATCACCATCATCTTCATCATCCGCCGTCGTAGGAGTATAGTCAGAGGTAAACAACTGCCGTCGGGTCATAATTTTTTTTTTCTATCAAAATATGCCTTACTCATTGGAGTGTAATTCGAAGTGTTCATTTCCATATTCTTATAATTCATCTCTTCTTGTATTTGTTTGGCCCGTAATTCATGCCTACGGTTCCTTTCTTCCGCCTCAATGGCAGTTTGCTCCGCTATTAAGCGCAATGAGGCCGCCACTTCGTGTTGAGCGGCGTAATCATCATTTACCTTGTCTTTTTCCTTCAACCTTCGTGCCTTGTTTCGTCCCATAGCCCTAGGTATGAAACCTTCACCCGAAGACGGATTTTCTACCCTTATTTGTTGAATGGTAGAAGATCCATCTTCATCCATATCTGCAGCTGAGGATGCAGTTTCGAACACCGGTGTAGGACCTACTCTATGTTGAGGTGGATCTTCAAATAACACTCACCCTTTACAAATTTCCCAACAACTGTGAAACTGAAAGGGTTTTGAGCTACCCTCCATATACAATTCCTCCGCTTGGTGTACCTAGAAAATATAATTACAAAAAATTAAAGGAAATTAATTTATGAAATTAAATGTAATATAATTAAATGTATATACAAAAATTAAAGGAAAGTAATTCATGAAATTAAATGTAATATAATTAAATATTTAAAATAAATTGTGAAAACACTTATTTCGTCGTAGTAGTTAGCGCTGCTTTAACAGTGCTTGATGCCATTTGTTTAAACTTGGGTGAAGATGTTTCTTCCATCTTGAAGAACAACTCCGTGGTTTTAGACATTCAGTGGAGTTGTGCCTTCATAGAACTCTAAGTATTTTTTGGACACACGAGTCCAAACACCTTCACTTGTTTGAGAACTCCCCCTCACACTATCTTCCGACACCCATCTATAAGCCTTGCAAAGAGTTTCATATTCTTTTCGGGTCCAAACCCTACATTTTATTGCAAACGAGGCCATTTGAAAATTATTTAAATAATTGAAGGAAATATTTTTGAAAGAGGTAAGAAAATATGAATTTGAAATGGTGAAAATTTTATGAGGAATGGTGAATGAATGGTTTAGGTATTTATAGGAAAAAATTTAGAATTTTTAAGAATTAAAAGAAAAATTGGCCCAAAAAACAGCAAAAAAAAAAAATCCGACTTTAACTGGCCCCAACTAGCCGTTGGATTCAAATTTTTGTTTTTAAATTTCTGTCGGATAGAACCGACACTATTAGAAGCATTGCTATCAGTAACCGACAGTAAAACTGACACCAGTAAAAAAATTCCAGTCAGCCCAGGGCTGGCTACATGTGGCCAGCCTTTTGGCCCCTTCAGATTCTGTGGGGCTCACAAGCCCTCTGGCATGGCCCTCGGTTAGAGACGATTTTCTGGTTATTTTCGACCTTCTGGCCCTCTTAACCATTCGGTTGAAGATGGCCTAATTTGGTAGACCAGCACCTCACCGAATGGGCCACAAAATTATCTAACTTTTAACATTAAATACCCTTCCATTCATAAAAAAGGGAAAAAGTGTAAAAAACATTGCGACTAGGGATGGGCAAAATACCCACAAGTATGGGTAACTGTGTTTACCCGCCCATTTAAAGTTCACGGTTACGGTTATGGATAACCGTTTAGACAAACAAACGATTATGAGTATAACCGTTTACCTGTAAAATTTAAATAGGCACTTATGAGTATTACACGCGGTTATAACAGGTATCCATTTAACCGTTTATTCTAACATATGTAAAATATAAAAACTATAAATTGTTCAATCTCAGTGTTTTGTGAGAGAAAATAAGTGCTTATCACAGTAGGTGCTTCTTTTGGCCCGCATATTCCATTTTTAAAGGTGCTCGAGACTGCAAAGGGAGCAAGTAGTAGAGTTTGGAAGCAAGGAACCAGTTCAGCCCCAGCTTTCCAAAATTATGACAAATGTTACTTTTTGTATTTTTAAGTTGTTAAAACAAAACATGTAGACGATTGAAAAAATGGTAAATGGGTAAAAAAATGGATAAATGAGTTAAAAAACGGTTAAACGGGTATACAGTTACGGTTAATGGGTATACGGTTACGATTAAATGGGTACACGGTTATGAGTATGGTTAACCGTTTAGGCAATTACCTAACGGGTAAACGGTTATACGGGTATGAGTATAAACGATTATGGATAAATAATCGCGGTTACCCGTCTGCTATAACCGTTGCCCATCTCTAACTAAGAGTCGAACTCGGAATCTCAGTTTCATAGACCAGCGCCTTAACCACTGGGACAGAGCGGCAAAAGGGTGATCATACGTCACTTATTTTATTATATAAATAACCATAGTAACCCTAAACCCTAAACCCAAATAGTAAAATTATCAAATAGAGCATTGGCTCAAACATGTATTCTAACCCTACCATAGTAAAATACGAAACAATATAGTAAGTGGAAAGTAGTTACTATATGACATGGTGTTTTCATTTTACAATTACACTATTACATGGTAATATTAATTATATGTTTAATATTTAACGGACTTTGAAATGCTTAAACGTGATGCTTCAAATGAAGATTAACGTTTTACATAAAGATTAATACGACTGTAATTTAACGATACGATTTGGGTTTGGGATAAAGATTATTAATTTGAATATAATTGATGGGAAAAAAAAAAAAGGGATCCTGATTGGTTATACACAACGCTCATTGGTTTGATTATATACATTTACATAATTGCATTAGAGCTCACTCAACAAAAAGTTACGTAATTAGAAAGCTAGGGTAGGAGATGTTAAAATTTTCAGAAAATTGCATCTAAACAAAACTCTATACATGTATATAAAAAAATTGAGAAGAGAAATTATTGTAGTGATTGAGTTCTAATTATTTCCAACTTTTCGCAACCGGCTTCAGCGACGAAGAACTGTTACTTTTTCTCATGCCTGCAACAAGTGATTGTGACATGTTGAGAGATGTAATAATGTTGATAATTAGAAGGCGAACTGAAGTAGTAACTGGTGCTGAGAGCTATGTTTTCACATACCTGACGGTACCTTCGCAGCGCTCTTTGATCCTGATGCCGAAGGTGAAGAAGTTGTTCCTGGTTTAAGCGAGGGTCGCGGAATCCTACTAATCCTTTTAGGCCTGCAGAATATGAGTCATTAGTAAGAGATGACCAACAGCATTACATATAGGCCTCGTTTGGTGTCTGGATAATGCATTAGATTCAGTGTAAGTGATGCTTACCTTTCCGAGGGGTCAGATTTCGTGCTTTCGGGATAATTCATGCTGTCGGTAGAGCCATCAGTTTCTGTTCCAGCAGAAAGACCACCGTCAGATAAGTCACTTAATTTCCCCTCAGAATCTGCATCTCCAGATGCTAAGTTCTCAGCATGATCTGTAGGTTTATTCTGACCTATGTCATCACCTCCGGCAATCTTTGATGATTGCCCGAGGAAATCATTTTGCTGTTTAATGTCATGCATGGACTTCTGGAGCTTATGAGTACTGTACAAAAACACAGTTTTCAGGATCAGAAGCTGCCTTAAGTCCTAAGCCTTTATCCCGCCACTTAACGGTGTTTGGTTTCACTTCCCACCTCTAGAAACTCTGCTTGGTTGCGAAGATTCATACCTAAATGAGCTCGTCCCACGCTTCTCACTGTGGCCATCAAGTAATTGCAATCGCTCAATCTCGCCATCCTTCTTAGCAATCGTGTCTTTGAGAGACGCTACCTGCAGAGGCAAGAAAAATTTAGAAACAATAAATTTTTTGTAGAACATTATTTATGCATATTTTTCCAATTATGCGTATGAAATGAGAACCTGTTCCATTAATTCCCTAACATCCCGGCCCTCTTTGTTGCTTTTTGCAGCCCCCAACTCAACTCCGGCAGCCCTCTCAGCAAACTTTAGAGTACTTAAACTTTCGGAAAATGAACTTGCGTCAGGATTTAGCTGCACAAACATAAGCGTTTTTGCTTGCCCACCTGTTGTAAAACACCATAAATATTCTAGCATTACTACATATCTTATAAAACTTCGCACAATGAATGACAAATCTTAGAGAAAGACAAGAGCAACTTTGTTATGAATCTTCGACTCAATGAAACTAACTAGCGAAGAAGTACCGAGAGAGCTTTGAAGGACTTGAGTGAGCTTGCTATTTCTGTAAGGTACATGAGGGCTCTTTTGTGCAAGAGCAAATATGACATCTCCAAGAGAAGATAATGATTTGTTTATATGTTGTGCTTCCTTGAGCCTATCTCCTGTTACCTCAGAACGGTCTACTCTTTCACTTCCCGCGAGATCTACAAGATGAAGGTTACCAATCAAAGCGGAACCAGTCTTCAAATCCTTCCCACGTACATGTACTGTAACAACACTGTATATAGACATTCAAGCTAAAATCATACACACCAGAAAATATATAACATGTGGATATATACTAAATGAATTTTATGAAGATGAGATGTACAAACCTATGAGAGCGACTACTTCTTTCGTTTAAAGCAGTGGCACTAACAGCTCGGTTCTTAAACCCAATTCCCATCAATTTTATTACATCTGAGGTTGATTCCACGGGGTGCATGCTAGCATCTGGCACAGCTAACCCGTTGGGTTGAGAGTGGGTCATAATCCCAAGTGTGTGCAAGTCAAGGCAAACAAAAGACTGATACCAAATTAACTCAGACAACATTTAAGTATTCAAAATAATAGGAAGCGCATTTCATAACGACAAGGATATTTCTTCTGAGCGCCATCACTGGATAGCAAATCGCGCACCTGTTCGTTGTATATTTCAACCATTTGGACTCCAATTTCATATGTAATGGAGCCTTTTCTACATTGAGAGATGTCAAAAAGGTCGTTTAAGGCCCGGTAGTTGACCCCCCAGTTCTCTTTAGTTGCTTGATTAGGACCAGTCTGAGAGGAGACAATAGACATAAAACATCTGGTCAGCATCTTTTCAAATTATTGTTCTGTGATGAAAAGTAGGATATAAAGATGTTACATACCATCGTGTAGGTTTTCCCGGATCCAGTTTGACCATAAGCACAAATACAAACATTGTATCCATCAAGCACAGATCGTATCAACGGTTGTGTGTCAGCGTATACTTCAGCTGCCACAGTTAAATAAATTGCTCAAGTTCAGAATCGTAATGTATGTCACTATACAATCATGTTCGGAGAAGAATCATTTTCAAGGAGAATCAACAGATGAATCGAACAATATCTATCCAACATTAAAGACACAAAGTAGAGAACCTTGAGTTGCATCTGAACCATAGACCTTATTAAACTTGAACAATCGATGACCCTCTTTCCCTGGTTTGGAGCGGTCTGCAACTACCAGTTCCCCATTTTCACCAATATGTTCTACCGATGTCTTCTTTTCCTTTTGTCCAGGCAGAAATGGTCTTATTCGACAGAAGACTCTGATGTTTCCTATGCAAGAAAGTTAAGAAGTGAACTCTAATGCTTTCCTTAAGATGTAACCAAAGTAACGCTAATTTATTTCGTAGCACCTCTTAAATCCTGAATTTCATTAAATAACTTCCTATTTTCAGCGAGAAGTGCATGATAGTTCTCGGACGCGTCTGCTAATGCTTGAAGCTTCACTCCTGAAAAGCGAAGCTGTAATGCATGAAACTCTTCTAGCACAAACTGCGCGAAACAGATGAAGTTTTCGATAGACAACCCTACCTAAGTGATTAAAGTTCACCGCGTAATTCTGTCCTGCCGTCAAAACTTCTTGCTTAATGGATTCTGAAGATAACCTTAATTCCTGAATGTTTCATAACTTGATTTAGAATGTGTACATCATATACAATTAAATCTTGAAATACAATTTGATCTAAAGATACCTTTAGTGAACCAAGTTGAAGATCCATAGAGCTCTGGTAAACACGCAGTTTCTTGGTCCAACTTTTATATTTCGACTCTGAATTCGCTGAAAGCTGCTTCGCCTCATTCCTTGAATCTGCCAAGAGGCGTTCAAGTTCTTTTATTCTCCCTTCTAGCTCTGCTTTAGAAAACTGATATTTGGACTCGGAACTTGCCTCGAGTTCTTTCACTTTATTCCTTGATTCTGCCAAAGAACGTTCAAGTTCTTTTACTCTCTCTTCAAGTTCTGATTTATTAGACTGATGTTTTGACTCGGAATTTTCCTGGAGCTCCTTCACCTTACTCCTCGACGCTGCCAAGAGACGTTCAAGTTCTTTTGTCCTCTCTTCAAGCTCCGCTCTAGCACCTTTTGCTTCCGTTTCCATTTGCAAGCAACGCAGGTCATATGTCTTTTTCGCTATATCCAACTCTTGCCTCAATCCTGAAATTTCAAGGTTGCATTGATCCTTCTCTTTCATTAATCTGATCACATCCTCATCATCGGTTTTCTTCTTTGCTTCCATTCGGGTTCTCTCATTCTGCCAATTGTAAAACATTCCCACTTAAAGATATTCAGAAACTTATGTATCAAATGAGAAAAGCTTCGTAACCGCAGTTTACAAGTAAAATTATACGTATTCTTTGACTGCTAAACACCATCAATATGTATTTTTATTGTCCGCGAAATATACCTTTATTTGCTGAAGATGGTTCATGATAAGCTGTAACAGAAAATTTTCACTTTGAAAATAAGACATTGGTACCACATTGAAACATGTTTACGAGAAGCTGTCAACTCCTGATCTAATTTCTCGAAAAATGTTTCATACCTCACTTTCCTCACTGGTTCCGGATGCAAGTGTTTCAAGTACTCGGATTCTTGACTGGTATTTCTCTTCACGAGCCTTAAAAAGGTTGTTTTGCTGCACGAAACCATAACGAAGTTAACACAAAGCACTTCTTAGTAAGGCTAGCAGTGAAAAGTATTCATAAAAGCATATTACAGTTCTTAAATGCTCCGCTTGAGTTGATATTCGCCGCTCAATCTCCTGGACAACTTTTCGCAGAAGACAAGACACACGCTGTGCAAAAATCGCAATGTGTCAGAGCAGATTTCAAAATGTACATTTCTTGAATATTGTACATACTGGTATTTGTATAGATGAACTTATGTTTTAACAATCTTGTGCTTTCGGATTTCCATACCTGGGGTATTTCACCATTCTTTCTTTCAACACTTTCATCGAGGATTCCATTTACGACACTCAAAAGTGACTGCGTTGGAGCGTTCTGCAACAAGAGATGCTGAAGTGCATTAAAAATAGATTAAACTGAAGGGATCACAAAAGGAAAATCCGATTCAATTTCAGGGTCCACCGAGGACTTACATCTAAACTGTTTGGTTTCATCATTTCTGAAATTTTCGCAGCAGGAAGATCCGCGTAGCCTCCTTGCTTCAACTGAAACACCTCGTGGAACTTATGTCCGACATGATGCATGAGTAAAGGTGACGTCTCTGCACAAGGTAAATTTGCGTCAAGCACCAACTGTTTGAATGACGAAAACATTATGTAAAAGTTTATCAACTTAAACATATAAAAGTACATCGGCAAAAATAAATTTTGATCTGTTCAAGACAATAGCCAGACCTCCTGACATAACAGGACTACGCAATGCGCGATGAAATTTTGACTCAGACAAGACCTTCCGCATGTCATCTACAGATAATGGAGGAAGCTGGACACGGGAAGATTGGCTGCCAGATTTAGTCGTCGGACTAGTTATAGATACACCATAACCCATGACATTTGGCATAAATTGTGCTTTAAGTGTTAAAAGACATTCTGTGACAGCCTTCATACAACCCTGCATAATATTAATCCCGAAAAATGAAAACCATATTGAATGTCAGCAAACTAAAAACTAGATATCATGTGCACGTTGCAAGGGATCTGTATGCACACAAATTACATTGATAGGTACCTTCTCTAGGTCGGACATATCAAACTTCGGCAGCCCTAGCGCATCCATAGCTGCCAGAAACCTTGCAACTTTTTCCGAGGGTGGAACCAAGTTCTATGAACATTGAAAGTACAAAACCAGACATTCGATCACCACCTTGTCGAAAAAACTCTTCAATAAAAAAAGGGTGGGGAAGGCCTATCAAGTTATCAACTCACCTCATCAACAAGACCAGGTCTAAGCTTGTTCAATATCCAACATAAAACAGTACCATCGATCAAGCACGATCTCAAGTCCTCATCAGAAGCAGCTGTTGGTAAACCTAGATTAGGAACTAAACTATTTAACCATTCTACTAAGTATGCTCGCCGCTTGCCTGCAATATAAACTCAAGGGAGAAAAAAAAATTTAGATCATTAAGCATTGGAGAAGTATATCGGGAACAAGTGGAGATGGCTAGATTTCCTTACCTTCAGTCTCATCATTACCATTTACAACTTGTTCGAAACTATTCCCGGTAGCAGGAACACTTGAGCTGCTGGTTCCTCCATTTTCTTTTCTGCTGTAGTTGGATGCGGAATCCATGATCAGCTACTTGGGCGTGGACTAGCTTCGGAGCTCAACTATAAAACTCATGCTAAGCAACATCAATCCTCTGTTTAATAAGAGCAACCCTGCGAGTTGGAAACACATTACTGATGTAAGGGTACTAACAATGAACCGCGTAAAGCGAACAAACAATCTCTCGAAGAAACAAACACGGAGTAGAAATGCTATCGCGTCCCAAACGAAAGAAGATGAAGATTAAGGAGGGGTTGCACCAGCAATCATATACACACACACAAACATATATACATACATGTGTATATATATATATATATATATATTCACTGCATATACACAAGTTACTGATTACCGTATTCAAAAGAAACGAAAAACTTATGAACATGGCAGGTTCGAACTTCGAAAATCAAAGATAAAATAGCAATCACAAAATGCGAGAGACAATTTGCCCGAGCTGCACACTGGCTACAACAGAACTTCTATATGGAACAAACTTGACTTAGAACCCATATCCATTGAACAACTGATTACGAAAAAAAACAAAACCTAAAAACGAAATGGTTATCAAGCACGCCCTTGACTATTCATACGAAACATGTAAACAACATGGTTATCAAACATGATGCCCTTAACTATTCATACGAAACATAAAAACAAAATGGTTATCAAACGGGCGTAACTACTCAATAAAATGTGAATTAAAGAAAAGAAACAGAATCCCACCTGAGAAAACTCAGAGAGACTTCAAGCTAATGCGGCGTTGATTAAGGCTAAACCAATTTTTTTGATCCATTTACTTTAATTATTTCTACTTTTAATCATGTTTTGTTCAGATGTTCTTTGTTTGGAGTATTTTGGTTTCCACCGTTGATCTTCCAAGAGAGTTAAGAACCAGTGCGTGAAATTAGGAGCACAACTCTCTCTCGCCTCTACGTCTCTAATCCCATCAGCTGGTTTTCTGCCACCTGTCCTCCACCCCTCCGTCTTCTGTGCTACCTATTGGTGGACGTCAATGGCACGTTGAAATTGGTCTTGAATTTTCACCTCCATGGCCCAAATCCATCGTTCGCCCAAGAAACTAGTGGCCTGTGAGTTAAGGATCTGTTTCATATTGCGTTCCGAAGGGTTGAAAGTAGCTTTTTGACAACTAAAATCGTTTTTAACAGCGTGTAATTATCAGTCATAGAAGTGTTTTTTGGATGAAGCACTTAATCTAGAAGTTGCTTTAGGAAGCACTTGGATTCTAAATGAAGGGCTCCGACCATAACATTGGAAAAAGATCTCTTCGGATCCTCCTTGTGGGGATCCAGGGGATCCATCAATCATGTTCGTTCATCGTACATCGTGTAATCAGTTTTCGTTAGGTATTATTTATATTCAATTTTAAATTTAAAATTTAAAATGATTTCTGATCGCATGATGTACGATGAACGGATATGATTAATTGATCTTCCGATCCCCACAAAGAGGAACCTTTTCCCATAACATTTTGCGTATCACAAATATCAAAGATGGATGTGAATAATATTTTAAGTTGCTCTCGAGCAATCACACGGATTCAAAGCCTATTAGAAGACGAAGCGGATACTAATTATCACTATCGTTTCTTCTTTTGCACTCTTTTTTCCCCCTCTCTCTCTCTTAATTAGGCAGATGCAGGTTAGACGAGTTGGTCAAGGAAGTATACCAAATCACCTGCGCTCAAGTTCAAATAGTGGGAAGAGATGAAAAGAGAGTGTAAAAATCACTAACATGGAAATACACTTCAAAGTGAACATGTTTTCTTATCAATTTTTCTTCAATAGTCCGGACTACTAAACAGAAAAAAATGGATGGCCAAGATCGAATTGAGAAAATACTATTTTTCTTGTCAATCTAATGGGCCTAGTGCTTTATCAATGGAGATGAGCCCAAAACCAGAGCCTAATAAATCGTAAGCCCAAACACCCAAAAGCTCAACAACCCGAAGCAGCTGCAGACTTCAAGCCGAAACGGAGCCAAAACGGAGAGAGAGTGAGCAATCCAAAACTGCGCGAGAAAAATGGGGCGGAAGAAGGGAGTGGTGGACTTCGACGAGTCGCCGCCGGACGACTTCGATCCGGCGAATCCGTACAAGGACCCGGTGGCGATGCTGGAGATGAGGGAGCACTTGGTGCGGGAGAAGTGGATCGACATCGAGAAGGCCAAGATCATCAGGGAGAAACTCCGGTGGTGCTACCGCATCGAAGGCGTTAACCACCTCCAGAAGTGCCGCCACCTCGTCCACCAGTACCTCGAGTCCACTCGCGGCATCGGTTGGGGGAAGGACCACCGTCCTTACGAGTTCCATGGTCCGCCAGCGTACCCTATCCTTTCCCGTCATTGGCCAGTTTTCTTAATTAATTGACTTTTTGTTTTTGTTTTTGGGAATTTCAGGTCCGAAGCCGGAGCCGGTGGAGTCCGAGTGATCGGTTTCAGGTACTGTTTCTTGTGTTTTGAGCTCCCAATTTGATAATGTGATTGCAATTTTTTTTGTTTGGATTTGAAATTTCAGTTTTTGGGGTGTAATTTTAATCAAGTTTGGGGCTTTTCGATTCCATTTGCTCGTTCCTGCTGCGAATTAAGACTCGGGTTTTCGTTTTTTTAGTCTGGTGAGGCATATGATTTAGGGTTTTAGGTTGGAGTTTTATTCAAACAGAAAACACTACAAAACATGAGAACACTTGGATCGAAACGAGACTGTCAGCAGGAACAAATGCTTAACAGTTTTAGTTTTTGAGAATTGATAGAATGCTCAATCCAATTCTGATGAATCTTTGCTACCTAGCGATACTTCGATTCAGATAATAAACATGAGAACATTTGGACCATAAAACCAAAGACATGAATCTACAAACTTCCGGGGATGTACCCCTGCAACTTCCTTTATTGCATTATGGGGCATTTTTCCTTTATGATTCTTCGCATATAATGTCTTTTTTTTCGCGACTAAGTTTTTGGACGGTTCATTGAAAGGTCTTGAGCAAGTTGAAAGTCTTCAACTTGGAATGCTTATCATCTTTAATTTGGTAGGGTCTACGGTGACTTTTGGAAACAGAGTTATGGTAAACAAATCGGTAATGGTTCAACTTGAGAAAGCATAAAGCACGAGAATATTGTCTGTATATATGCATTCTGGTGTTCAGGCCTGTTGGTGGTATGATCTTCAAGTCTCTCAATCTACTCATTTGATTTTGATTTTGGAGTAGAGTTATGGAGCTAAGAAAGTTGCTTGGGCAATCTTGCTATGAACCTTCATTTTGTTTTGAACATTAAGTCAAATTTGTTGAATGACATGAATACTGAGCTTTGCTAGCATCACTCTTCATGCAGATTTAACACGAATTGTGAAATTTGTTACTCGACTTGGAGTCCAAAATTTCTGTGGTGTGATATGTTCAATGTTGCACGTGAATGAAGAGGTCGGCGGTTATAGTTGGTTTACTTATTATGTTTTCTTCGTGCAGGTGAGTAAGTTTGGGCTGCAGTGAAATGCAGAAATTGGAGGGAAGTTGGGGATCACAACATCACGATTTCGTTGTCTGTTATCATCTCTAGACTTTGTAAGACCAGTCTTATCTCTTCTTTGTTGTTACAGATTTCAGGCTTCGACGTTTCACTAGATTATCTCGTTTGTTAGCTTCCAAAAATCTCGATTTCAACTAGGGCTCTGCCTAGATAGAAAAAAAATAAGTTTCTTGTTTTTTGTTATGTATGAATGAATGGATCATAAATCTTGAGCACACTCAAGTGTCAAGGAAAAACAGTTGCTAATTCTCTAAAGCATTACAATTTGTGTTTTGATTGCGGTCCTTTCGGCAATTGTTGCTCCTCTCAACTCGAAGGTTGTAACCCGACACTTGCCAAGTACTTCAAAGTGTTGGTAGTTTAACATGCAGGGTGATCGGAAGAAGAAAATCGGAAAACCCGAAAAGTTTTCAATTTCATCCGGAGCACGCGTTCTTCTGTTGAGTAAAACCACATCATCCCCGCTAGCTCCAAGTCTCCAACTTTATTTTCTTCTTTCCTGTCAAGCAGATTAATCAAACCTTAATGAAAATTAAGGTAGTATGAGTAACATCCGACGATTTTCAGCGACAAGAATATGACAACGATGAGAATAGTTGGTCTTTAGAGCAGACAACAGAAAGAAAAGAAAATAATGCACTTGACTCTGTTAATGTGGCGTGATGAAGCCGGTGGTGGCCGGAGCTCCCTTGAGTCCACTGGGCGGGCTAAGAACGCGGAAGAAGTTGCTCCCACACCGTGCACCATGCCAAACCCTTAACACTCGTTATATCGGTCATCTCTCGTGCAACGGCTAATTGAATTGAGTTCTACAACTGCGCAGGCAGCACAGCAGGCTACTAGGGTTGGGAAATATAAAGGGAGCAGCCAAATGCATGAGATGACAGCTCTAGCCACTCCTCAGACCTCTGAATTGGACCGAAGGGAGCTCCCCTCTCCGTCGATCCATCATATTCACATATCGATATCAACTCCTCAAGATCGATCGCTTATAATGCAAGTAATCTAGCTCTTCCCCTCGCTCTCTTCTCTCTCAATGCTAGAAAATGACTCCTCTCTCTCTCTCTCTCTCTCTCTCTCTTATATTGCACGCAATGAACTTTTAACTTCCCGATGATGATCACAGTATGGGAATATTCTTAACTATGATACATAATAACGTATTGAGGAGTGATAGGTTTTGTCCTCAACAAATATATCTTCCAGTAAGAGCAAGGACACGTATGCACCTCGTTGCTTTGTTGTTGACATTCTAAATGAATCATTCTACACTGATCATATGTTATGAAAACTGTTGGAAAATATTAGTATATTTAGGTTTATTTGAATGCTTAGTTTTATTGGCTTAGCCCGTTAGCATTAGGGTTTTGATTTCTTACCTTTTAGGATTAGGGTTAGTTTATTATAAATATCTTGCTTGTTATTCATTTGAGAATTAAGTCAGTCACAATGTAGTATCTTAGGGTTTTGTAGCCGTTCTGGCATTCTTGTTAGTTTAATAATATTCTTATTATTCTTGTTAGTTTTGTCCGTTGCGCACTCTGATATTCAACTGTAATTTAGAAATTACATTTTGAAGATTACATGATAGCATTTTTAGTGCATGTTCATATTAAAAAAAACTGGTTTTACATCATGGTGGCTTTCTTGTCATCTTAACCTTCTTCGGGCATGGCACGGCAAGACAACCAATGAATCGAACAATTATACAAGATTTCTTTTCAACGTTTACTAACGGCACTGGAAGGTCTAGATATGACATATTGAATCAGGGATTTTTTTTAAAGAAACACTTATAGAATCGGAAGTGATCTTCACCGTTTCTTTCGACTTATATAGTTTCTACTTAGTTATGTCTCTTAATTTTCGTTAAGAATAGGTTACCCCATGTCCTTGAGTGGGAGCAGAATCCAAAGTATTAATCTGGACTCTTAACAAAGTGACTTTGTTATATGATCGCTCTTAACAAATTGATTAGCTAGTTAATATTCAAGTTATATAAGGGTTCGTTTAGAAGTCTTTTTAAAATAACTCGAAGCGTTTTTTGTGAAATTGATTTTGAGTTCCAAAAACACTTTAGTTGCTTTTTAGAAGAATGACTAGATATGTGTTTCTTGCAAGAAGTACTTAAAAGTACATTTTTTTTTTAGGATTCACTTGGATTTTTACAAAAGATTGGTTTCAAAAGCATTTTTCCCAAAACGATTTCAGTCATTTTAAAAGTATTTCCAAATGAGCTATAATTATGCATCCTACATATACATAATTAGTTGTGGG